TGTGCTCTACCAACTGAGCTGGATGGTCATTTCTAATTCTTGTCTTATTGTTATATCCAAAAAAAATTAAAAGGCTAGAACACTAAATACAAAAAAAGTAAAGTGTTGAAATTATGGACTAAAATAGAAAACATGTGTGAAATTAGAGGGACCTAAAGGAAAATAAATCATTTATTTAAGTCTAAAAAAATATGTTCAAATAAAAAGGAAAAACTACAAAATAAGTCAACAAAAATTTGAAAAAAATTAAAATATCAATACACATGAGCAAAGTATAAAAATACTCTAAAATAGGATAATAAAAAGAGATTATACCAAAAATTACAAAGAACAAAGAGAAATGGAAAATTCTGAAAACGGTTCCTTCTAGTGACCTTTTTGTAAAAATACTGGAATTATTGGTAGACTAAAAAGCAATTTTCCTCGAAATTGTTCTATAAATACAACATTTTCTCCTTTTTTATATTTTTTTTTTCATTTTTTCGGTTTAAAAAAGAGAGAGAGGCTCTCCCCTCTATAGAATCCGGCCATCGTCGGTCGTCTGGTCATCGCCTGCCTGGCAGCCGTCTCTGGTGGCCCTTGGCCACCAAAATTCACAGTAAGGCTCGTTTCGGGCTCCTCGTCACGGATCTAGGCTCGGTTTAATACGAAACGGCTTCCATCGTATTGAAAACGGCCGAGACCGTTCAGCTTTTCGGGTTTCAGTGACTCCTCCGACGATTCAAGGTTACCCCGATTCCCTCCTTTTTTATTTTTTCGTATTATTTGCTGTAAGTATGCTGGGATCGTTGGTTGTTAGACTGAAAAAAACTACGTATTTTCTATTTATTTTTTGTTCGAACTGTGGGTTTTTATTTCAAAATATGTATTATTTTTTTAAAGAAAAAGAACTAAAGATATTGTTTATTCGAAAAAACTAAAAAAGAACCCTCTTTTTTTGGGTCCAATAGTAATAACAGTAACAAAAAACAAAGAAAAATAAACGAGAAAGGCCTTCGAAATTAGGAGAAAAAAATAACCTGGGAACTCTGTTGTTTATTTCTTTAAAAATCGGATTACAGTGTATCTTTTAGAGAGACTTCTCTGTTTTTTTCGCAGGGGTCTTTATACTTGTTTTACATAAATGAAATCATCATTTTTTCTTGTTTCTTCTCTCTTGTTTTTGCAGTGGAGTGAGGTTGGGGCTGGCGTGCAGGGCCAACTTTCCTCTGGTTGGTGCAGGAAATGGTGGCCAGCGGTTGGGGGAGAGGGGCGGCTGCTAGCTAGGCTAGATTAGGCCCGGGTCGGGTCTATAGTTGGGTCCCGGGTCGTTTGTTTCTTGGCTTAACTTGGGCCAGTAAAAAATGGTGTTCACAACTAAATATATATGAATGTGTGCGTGCCAATGATAGTAAATTTAATATAATAGAAATTAGCAAAATTTTACTTGCCCCAAATTCTTTTATTAGCAAGAATATTTACAATCCATTTAATGGATTCAATGTGTTATAAAAAATGTACCATTAAGAGCAAGAAACTAATTTCAAATTTTAATCGTTCTTTTTCCTTTTATATGTCAAACACGCATTTGTACATTCATTTTGTGCATGTCCAATTAGATCAGTGTATATTAATTTTTAATATACAAACAACGTATTCTCAAACATACATTTTTTATTAATCCGAGATAAATACATCACTCAGCACTAACAATTGCAAAGAAAATAGTCTAGAGATTATAACTCAAGACCTTTGACTCATGAGAGCAATGCTCTGACTAACTGAGCTACAAGATCAATGATTTTATTATTTATTAATTAGCTTAATTTTTTTACTTCATAATTTTATTCAAATTTGTGATAAGTAGGAAGAATTATGGAACATTGATATATTATTTACATGTGCATTGTTTTAGGGATAAAATAAAATATATAAGTGAATTTATTATTTAAATTAATCAAATATAATTGAACCCATCAAGTAGTCTCAATAATTAAAGAGTGTTATTTTTTTTAAAGTCTTAAATTTGAGCAGCTGCGTCTACATGGTATGTACATTATAAATAGTTAAAAAAGATTCTAAACATATATTATCATTATAATCACTTAAACTATTAAGAAAGTTCATCAACGTACTTTAGTATAAGAGAAAAATTGCTTTTCCTACAACCCAACTAAGTTTCAAATAAATAAAAACGATAGATTATATTTTATGTAAAAAAATTATATACAGAGTTGAGGGTTTTGTCTACTGAATATAGTTTTTATACATGTGAATAATAGGGTTTAGGATTTATTATGTACGTATGTTCGACATGATGAAGGCTGGATTGAAAATGGACTTTGAAATAAATGGTGTTATATATTTTTCAAATGGGTAAATTTTATATTTTGTCATTTATATATCACTTAATTTATGTTTTGGTCACCCAATTATAATTTTATTTAAAAAATATACTTAATGTTATGTTTTGATTCTGTTTTGATCACTCACAATGATAATATTAATGTGATATTTTTTTAAGTTGATGAAACATTATCTTACTATGACATAAATATTTTATTAATTTTTAATGATAAGTGAGCAAAATAAACTCAAAACATAATTTTTTATAAATTTTAAAAATATTTTGAATTTTTAGTAAAATTTTCAATTTTAAATTTTAGAATTAGAATCAAATTGGCAAAAAAAAAAGAAAAAGAAATAAATATTATATTTTAAGAATCAGGACCAAAACTAATACTTTTTTTTTGGAAAGTAAATAGCAGGATTTATTAAACTAAAATATGAAAACAAAGTCATTAACAGCTGGCCCGCTGTTTGGGAAACCGAGAAAACATAAATAAAAAAAAGCAATCAAAAAATAAAAACAACTTTTCTAAACTTAACCTAACTCACAATCCGGCCGATTCTCTCCCCATTATCTCTGAGAACTCAATGAAGCTCATCAATTGGGAGGTTCAACATCTGGTAGAGCATTGGTCTTTTTCTACTCTTCAGCAAGCGTCTTGAGCGATGGCAATCTCTCTCCGATCCTCCAATATCTGTATAGTCGCATGCTCGGGGGCTTCCTCTATCCAGTACCTATCCTCGTTGTCGTCAATTTCATCGTTGGTTACGAGGTGAGCGACTCTGTTTCCTTCTCTCGGTGTGAATCTGAAATCACAAGAGTCAAAGCCCTTTGCTATCAATGAAGCTCATCAATTGGACGTTAAACATTTGGTAGAGCATTGGTCTTTTTCTACTCTTCAGCAAACCTCTTGAGGGATGGCAATCTCTCTCCGATCCTACAATATTTGTATAGTCGCATGCTCGGGGGCTTCCTCTATCCAGTACCTATCCTCGTTGTCTTCAATTTCATCGTTGGCTACGAGGTGAGCAACTCTGTTTCCTTCTCTCGGTGTGAATCTGAAATCACAAGAGTCAAAGCCCTTTGCTATTTGTTTGATTTTCCAGATTAAGGCACTAATTTCAGATTTATCTGGGTTTGAGGATTTTTAATTTTTCTGTTATTGCTCTGGAGTCACCTTCGAGAATAACCCGTCGAAATCTCAGATCTGCTGCTAGTTGGAGACCATGACCCGCTGCTATAGCTTCTGCTGCAAACGCGGATGAGACATGTAAGGTCAGTCTTCTGCATGCTCCCATCTCATAGCCTTAGTCGTTTCGTATTACGATTCCTGGCTATGTATTGGTCTGATGATTTGCGTTTTGCGTCGTAATTAATTTTGACTACGTTGTCTGGGGGTGGTTTCCATTTTGTTGGCTCCAATCTCGTCGGTCCTTTTATCCTGCTATTCGTTATGGCGAACTGTTGACACTGATTCTTTATGAAAGAGGTAACATTACTGTCGTGTTTTGCCCTTCGTTGGTTCTTCTGTTTCTCGCATACCAGAGGACCCAGATGGTAACTAAAATTTCTCCGTGTTTGCCTGATGTAGTGTTGTCCAGTATCCAACTTAGCCATTCCTTGATGTTCCATTGTGAAACTTGCACCGGCCTTTGGCCAAACTTCTTGTGGCTTACAATCTCTATCAATGTGTAGGCTTGATTCTGTTTGATTTGGGCATAGCGTACATAATGAGTCGTTTATTACTCTTCTTGTATGTAGCATCTGTTTTGTTGGGGCATAGTTGTTGCAAAGTTTCCAGATTTGTATATTGACTTTCCTTTGGCATCGAGTATCCCATAGCTTTTTAGACATCAATGTATATTCCTCTTCCGTGCTCACCCTGTGCATAAGTAGTTTGTAGCGACTTCGGACAGTGTAGTCCCCTGAGTGTTCTCCTCCCCAAACCTTAGCATCTCTTTGATCGAATCTTAAGATCGAGATAGATTTAATCGCAGTTGCCTCTTCTGGAGTAAAACTTCATCTATCAATTCTTCTCCCCATTTCCTTGAATCTTGGCATATAAGATCTGGAACTCTTACAATATTGTCTCTTTGTGGAGATGTTATTTTCTTTGGAAAATCCCCTGGCGCTCTAAATCTAGGAAACTCATTCCTCCTTCCTCTTTGAGTTTACTTGAATTTCCCCATGAACTCCAGTGTATTCCTCGTTGTTTCTATGACTTTTGCCACCAAAACCTGTTGAGGATTCTTTCCAGTTCATCACACAATGTTTTAGGTAATAAGAAGCAATTCATATCAAATAATGGTAAAGCCTGCAAAACTGCTTTTATGAAAACTTCTTTTCCTCCTTGTGATAATGCCCGAGTACTCCAGTTATGGATTCTTGCCCACATCATCTCTTTCATCTCGATAGATGTTTGTCTCTTATTCCTGCCTATCAGTGTGGGTAAACCCAAATATTTTCCCGGATTGGATATATTCTCCACTTCCAGAATTCGGCTTACATCACTTCTATTAGAATCAATAACATTCGTGCTGAAGAAGAGGCCGAATTTATCGAAATTTATGAGCTGTCCTGAGCTATCTCCATATTTTCAAAGAATTTCTTTCAAATTACCTGCCACTTTTGCTGTTGCTTCGCTGAAAATTAGACAATCATCAGCGAATAAGAGGTGTGTTATAGTTGGAGCGTATCTGTTGATTTTTACTCATTTCAAAATACCCTTTTCTTTCTATCAAAAAAAAAAAACCCTTTTCTTCCGCTTTCCGTAGGAGAAATGAGAGGCCTTCACTGCATAGAAGGAAGAGATAGGGACTCAAAGGGTCTTCTTGGCGAAGGCCCCGGTGTGGTTTAAATTGTTGTCCTGCTTCACCATTAACAATTATTGAGTATGAGACTGATGAGACGCATCGGTTGATTATGTTTATCCATCTTCTGTCGAAACCTAGCTTTTCCATTACAAGCCATACATAAGGCCATTCAACCCGATCATAGGCCATTATATTACAAACCGAGAAGGAGAGAAGGTTAGTTTTGACATTGACAAATGAACATCTTTTCACAATATGATTTCTGCTTGTAGCATAGAAGGTTTCTCCATTGATTTTACAAGAACTCGGACCATCTTTTGCCCATAGAGGCGAATCCTCTGAGGGCTGATCGTTATTATTCAAATGCCACAGTTTGTACATTTTGAATATAGCAAACTGCTTATTTCCTCATGTGATGGTGATGTTTCAAGAGGCGAATGCTCCTGTTTGTTTCCAGTTTAATTAATTTACGGGCAAAACACAACCAACTGTGATGTTCACAGACAGTGCTGTCCAACTGCAAAAGTCCTGCTCCAACGATGTCATTTAGAGCCAATGAAGAGCTGTTTTAAAATTTTATGGATTTAGTGCCAATGAATCATTTGCTTGGGTATTTCTTTAGTGATTTCATATATACTTGATTGTATATTATATAGTAAACAAAGATTCGGACATAAAACTTCGCTAAAAATATTGTAATTTGGATACACAACTGTTTTTTCATATTTCTATGATGCATAAAGTTTGACCCTTATGGCTTCTTAAACTCTATAGATCCTTCATTACCTGAAAACTATGCGACCCCATCAGCTGCTTGAGCAAATGGTTTGTACTGCCTTCAGAGCATCAGCTGACACTCTAAGCCAGACAAATTTTGGAAGCTTGAAGCAGATGAACATGAAAACGGACCAACTCTACCGACTATGGCATCTACGTTAAGGACTATGCAAGGTATTGTCCGTCATTCTTAGAAGTTTCCACTTTGAAATTGAGATTAATTATATTTCAAGCTCTTTTGTATGTTGCAGTCAACCTATCATCTAATGTCAGTAAGACAATTGAAGACCTCCGTCAGCTTTGTGTCGTTTTAAAATTTTATGGATTTATTGCCAATGAATCATTTGCTTGGGTATTTCTTAAGTAATTTCATATGTACTTGATTGTAGATTATATAGTAAACAAAGATTCGGACTTAAAACTTCGCTAAAAATATTGTAATTTGGATACAACTGTTTTTCCATATTTCTATGATGCATAAATTTTGACCCTAATGGCTTCTTAAACTCTATAGATCCTTCATTACCTGAAAACTATGCGACCCCACCAGCTGCTTGAGCAAATGGTTTGTACTGCCTTCAGAGCATCAGCTGACACTCTAAGCCGGACAAATTTTGGAAGCTTGAAGCAGATGAACATGAAAACGGACCAACTCTACCTGACTATGGCATCTACGTTAAGGATTATGCAAGGTATTGTCCATCATTCTTAGAAGTTTCCACTTTGAAATTGAGGTCAATTATATTTCAAGCTCTTTTGTATGTTGCAGTCAACCTATCATCTAATGTCAGTAAGACAATTGAAGACCTCTGTCAGCTTTGTGTCATTTTTGAACATGTTGAGAAGTTGTTAACACTTGCAGCTTCTCTTCATCGTAAATTTAGACAAGAACCACGTATCGCACATGCCATTTTCAGTTACTTCTAATACTTTAACCTTCCAACCATGGAAACAGGTTCTGTGGATGTAGTTACTGAGAAGGTAAATAGCCTCAATGCCGTGAATCTCCTCAGTTTTAGCATTCTAACTGATTAAACCCTCTGTTCTCATGGTATTGGTGAATCACTATTCTAGATGGATATATTTTCAGAGGACTATTTCTTTAGGAAGGCCATTTGATTTCAGTTTTATGCTTCTGAATAAAATCAAAACGAAAAAAGTCGCAAATATTCAGCAGTTTTCTACTACGTCTTGTTTGAACATGGATTTTTCTAATGAAAACTTTCCTGCTATTGTCTGACTACAATTTCTCTTAACATTGCTGCTGCATTAGGAATTTGTCATGAAGTTGCAACTCAGGATGAGAGACAAGTTGTGTCGAGACTCGGATGATTTTATTCAGAAGCATAAAACTGAAATCAAATGGCCCACCGTGAATCAGTCGTGGAGAAAAGTTTTAAGCATGGGCAATCATCTTAATGGCCATGAACCGATTATCAGGGAGATCATCTTTAGAATGTCTGATAACGCCAGTGGCAATCAATACACAACCAGCAGCCCCAGGGTTTATAAACACGAAATAGAAACATATCAGATTTATACACGTGGAACCTCAAATGATCTTCGGGTAGCACTTGCTATCACAACATATGATTAAATTCCATTTCAAATAATGTATTTACAATAAATTGATTCGTAGTTTTATTCATTTTATGGTTTTTTTTTACTAAATAAACTGAGTTTTGGGGGTTTATATTCACCTTTTAGAATGTTAGCAATTTAATGTATCTAGCAACTGGATATTGCCCATTATAGCAGATCAAATATTTTGCTTTTGAATACATGCATTTTTTTGTATAGGCTCTAGATAATGGAATAAGTGTTGAAATATGTCACCAGTCATTTACTTTATCGAAGTTGTGATATTCAGTTATTTTAGTATTCGAGAGGTAAAAAATATATTTTCATTTTTCAATTTAAAAATCGTAATAACAAAATTTATTGACATGCAGATCATTGACATCTTAGTTCCAGCTTTGTTTATTATGTATATTTAATAACAAATTGTTTAATATGTATATTTAATAACAAAATAATTATTGCTTTGTTGATGCTTTTAACAATGATACTTAGTTCATTTTAGTAGTATTTCTCAACTTTGTATTTCTAATCTCATTTTTTTCTTACAAGCATTTCATCGAATATCTATGTTTCACCTGAGATGACCTGTATCTAACATTACACTTAGAATCGTTGATGATCCCGATAGTCCCTTGATCGGATCTTCTTTCAATGGACTCTTATTCAAGTCAACACTTCCACATAATTCAAAATTAGATTAGAATTTCTCATGCATCCCCTACTGAAAAGTTACGTTGGAAATGAGAAGAGAGAAGCGAAAAAAGAAATTCGAGATCAAAAAAGAATTTAGGGTTTTAAATGAAATTAAGATTGTGTTGCGAGTTTTAAAAGTTGAGGGGTCTAAATACAAGCGTCTGAAAAGTTCAGTGATCATATTACAAATGTACTAACGGTAGTATAACGGTGTCAAACGGCCGTTTACGTCGGGGATTATATTGTAAACGAACTAAATATTGGAGGACTGTATTACAAGTTTTAAAAGTTGGGAGACCTAAATTAAAGTTTTAAAAAAGTTTAGTGACCATTACTATACTTTACCCTTAATTTAATTTAGTATTATTAGAAGTTAAGATAAATTTCTGGTAAATTTATCTATATAAAGAAATGGACGTTCCCTATTTGAAAGAAAAAAGAAATCAAGTTACAATAAGTAGATTAAGTAAGTCAATATGACTAACTTCTTCTATTTGATTTATTTACCTCATAAAAGCGTGTATTCACTTCCAAGTTTCAAGCCCATCCAGATGGGCAGAGGCAAAACCTATCCTTTCACTGTAATATTTTATTGAGGAAAAGAAAAACAGACATCTTTTCACAATCTTAGAGGCAATCTTCAATATCCCAAAAAACGGTAGAGATTAGAAGCAATTTTTGACAATGGGAACGTCTCAAGCCCAAATGACCTGAAATTTCCAATTGCTTGAACAGCGTGAAGTTTGATTCCAGTGCAAAACATATAATATATCAAGACTCTATCATCATGGATTAAATAAAACAACAATGAAGGAGAAAGCAGTAATTACACACATGATCAACACAGCATATTAACACGCTTTCTAAGACGCTAATAACTTTTATGTTGCAACTAATAACTTTTATGTTGCAACGATACACGGGATGGATATGGAAATGTGAAGTGATAATTTCTAAAATTACATGTATGATAAGGGTGTGAAAAATATAAATAAAGTTTGAAATTCGTAATTACTACAAAATTACGTACTAGACCGTATCTAGTCTCTATCATCATGTCCGATTGAAACGTTTCAAGTTGTGTTAGAAACATAACTAAAAGACGGTTCATATATAAGTGTAGACACTCATTTTCGTCCATATATATATTATACAGTTTGCAAACGGTTTTTGAAAATACTTATATAATATATAGTTTTTAAAACACTTTTGAAAACTATATAATATATAGTTTTTAAAACATTTTAGAAAATATATATAATGTATAGTTTTTAAAATCATTTTTAAAACTTATATAATATATAGTTTTTTAAAACATTTTTTTGAGAATTTATATAATATATAATTTTTAAAAACATTTTTGAAAACTTATATATAATATACAATATTTAAAACATTTTTGGAAATTATATAGTTTTAAAAAAATCACTTTTAACAATTATATAGTTTTTAAAAAAAAACATTTTTGAAAATTTATATATAATATATAGTTTTTAAAGAAACATTTTTAAAAAAATTTATATTATATAGTTTAAAAAAATACTTTTTATTTGTTATTATTATTATTATTCTTATTTATTATTTATTTGTTATTATTTATTATTATTTCTTGTTTATTTTTTTTGTTCAAGGTCCAAAATAAGGTTCACATAGTCTAAAGTGGGTCTGACCCAACCCGTACCTAATATATAAGGATTAGGGTTTTCAACGCCTGTCACAGGCGCCGCACAAGGGAGAAACCAACATTTAAGGTGCGAAGCGGCTGGCAAAAATCCCGGGATTGACCCATCCCGGGATGACCGGCCTCACGACGCTCACAACCCCCCGTATTTCGAAACTAACAAATGGCCAGAGGGGGTATAAATACCCCATTGTCGAACACTGCCGAAGACCATCAACGAAAAACAACGAAAACACACGGCCAACAAAAACCATCACCACAGAAATACCCTCGAAAATATCCGAAGCATAAACACAGTAACCCGAGGGAAACACCATCACGAAAACAACGACCACAGAAAAACCAACAAGCCACAAAAACACGATATCAAAGCAAAACACAAGCACATCAGACAAAAACAAAAAATGAAAAAACCAAAGCCTTTCTCATCAATAAGAGCGAAGAAACGACACCGGAGAAGAATGAACCATCGGTAGACAAACCATTCGCCGAGGAAGGTAAAATGTCGGAGCTTCCCTTTTAGATCTAGGCCAATTGAGGCCATTTCACGGTGATTGGTGGCTAGATTAGGGCTTTCGAAGGGTAGGTTTATAGGTAGTCGGCCGCCGTGGGTGATAGCCGGATTGTTCCCCAAGCGGCGGTCGTCAGCGGGGCTCCATCGGGGAGTTGAGAGGATTAGAGAGAGTTGATGGGCGTTTGTTTTGAGAGAAAGTGAGAAATGATTTGGTTTGGGGTTTATTTTTTGGTTATATACTAACCCATTGGACGACTCGCTTCGACCCGACCCGGAGGGGTGGGATCCGCGTGTTTTAGCGGTAAAAGGGGAAATTGTGTTTTGGTCCCCTCATTTTTAAACAATTCATTTTAGTCCATTTACCTCAATTTAATCCAGAATTCCTTTGATTTTCATCCTCTGTTTTGTTATTCTTTTAATTCAGTCCTTTTTTATGCTTTATTTTTTTATTACTTATTTAATATTAATTTTATGATATATACATTTTATTTATTTCTTTATTATTATTTCTTTATTTTTATTATTTACTTACTTATTTTTATTATTACTACTATTATTCTTATTCTTATTTTTTATTTTTATTATTATTATTATTTTTCCCTACATTTCATTACATGTGTATACATATATATATATATATATTATTCTTATTTTATTTTATTTTCCCCCCTTATATTATTTATTTATGTATTCTTTTTCATCTTCTTTTTTTGTTTATTATTGTTACATTTAGCATTTTTTTCTTACTCTGATTCAGCATTTCATGACAAATCTAACATTTCCATATTTTCAAGGGTCTTTGTTCAACCAATCAAAGGTAATTATTCAAATCAAATTTTAATTTTTAATATTTAATTTTTAATTTTCACAATTAAGACAACTGACAAATTAATTGGGACCGAAAAGGCGGTTCAAGGGTATTAATCCTTCCTTGAACGTAACCGACTCCCGAACCCGACATAATTCTGGTAAAACGCAGATCAGGTAAGATGGTGTCCGACCTACCTAAGATGTTTTTTAAAATGGTCGGTGGTGACTCTAACCCAATTATTCAAGTCGAAACCCAATTCCGGGCCCACCCGAAAGACGGCTGCGACAGCTTGGCGACTCCGCTGGGGACAGGTAAGTGAGTCAGGTCAGAATTAATTTTCGGTTGTCTTTTTAAGCGAAAATAACAAGTTTAAATTTTAATTTATTTATTAGATTATAATTATTTATCTTTGATTATTTTTCAAATAAATAGTTGTACTGACGTTTTTTTCAATGATTTCAGATTTTCAAAATTTTTATCTCAGGCTCTATACTTGAGCTCCAAACCCTTTTTAAGTGGGGGTGAAAGCAACGCCTTCGTGAGAATTTATTCTCTGTGCGGGCCTAGTAAGTAACCTTCTTGATTCATATACTTTATGTCTTCGTGTGAATTTATTCACCGTGCAGGCATAAGGGAATGTTTCCTCTCGAGTTTAACTTAGTCCACATAAGCTTATAATGGGCTTAGGACCAAGGATGTGGCAAGCGCAAGGGGGCACCAGCAGGGAGAACTCAGGTACCTTTCTTTAAAACCTAAACCAAGAGACTACAAAGAGTTAGAGCCCACCCCAAAGCCCCATTTCAAACCCTAGGCTGCTTTGATATTATTTCCTGCTTTATTTTCTGTTCAAAGCATGTGAACTAGAAATTTATGCGGTTAAGACTTGTTCAAAATACTCTTTCGGGATAAAGATCATGTCCGGGTAAGATTAATAAGCATGTGGGGTAGGACCTTTTATTATTTATTTTTCTATTATCCTTATCTTACTAACCTTTTTCCTTTAATTTTTATTTTTTTTTCATTTTTTCCATTTACATCATTCAAAAGAGGTGTTGATCAACAAAAAACGTGTTCGTTAAACATAAATAATCTGCATTAATGGACATAGGGGTTGTAATACAAGAGATAAAAAACGCAGAGGTCCGACTATGGTCATAAAAGATTCAGAAGAAAAAGAGAGACACTCTACAAGACAGTTATCTGTCACGTTCGATCGTTCGATCAAGAAGACATGGTGCCCACAATCGAAGAGTATATCACTTTGTTGGATTATGAATGACTCATAATGAACTGGGATTTACGCCAAGCATATAAAAAAAATCCACTTTTCGAAAATGGTTTAGCAAAGGTTGCAGGGGCAAGACGAGAAAAAGGTTGCTGACCTGAAGAGTCCCTTCAAAGAAAACAAGAACAAGATGGCAAAGCGATAGTTGAAATTGGAGGTCATTATTGATGAGTTCAAGAAACAAGCGAATGAACTTCAGATAGTCCCTTTGATGGAGGATTCCAATGGCATT